TTCAATCCCAGTCGGTGCCACCGGGATGTTCTTTTGGTACACTTTCGTTCGAAAACACTTAATTTTTATTCAAAAATAGTTGCGAGTGAACCAACATCATTATCGCTTAAATAAATTAAAATTATCACTCGCGATGCCACAAATTTCTGGACCGGGAGAAAAAATCAAACAACGCAGATAGCGTCAAATCTTCTGTTGCTTGCAAACATGATGAATCGTGTTTTCTTTCTCGATTCTAAAACTTCTCGGAAAGCGAGAAAACCACCACTCACACAAGTATAACCGTCCGGGAGGCAGAGTGCCAGCGCTAATCCGGCAAATGCAGCCGAAAACTGTGAAAGCGAATGCACGCACGAAACATCGAACAAACTTAAAACACAACCGTATCCAAAGGCGTTCGAAACTCGACTCAACAAACTGGACCGAAATCAGAACAGCTAAACTACTCGGTAAGATTTTGGCATTTCTATTTAATTGTATTAAGCTATCTCACAGAGACCAGACGTCCAAGTTCGGTCAGAAACTTGTGTAAAGTTAAGTGGAAACGTTGCCGTTACGTAGCGCTAGCATCTCCTGATTTCATCTATAAATTTATCACTTTCGACCAATTTGGCGCTAGTACCGATAAATTATCTGCTGAAAATTGCCACTTGGCGCTACCAGCACTTAGTGCCTAGTGTAAGTTTTGCTACGCCAGCGCCATCATGTTGTCAAAGAGGGTTTTTAAGTGGGGAAGTCGCCGTTAGTGGCGCTTAAGTCTAATAGGAATCTTTACACAAGTTTTTAGAGAAATTTTGGAGCCTCAACGTCTGTTCTCTGTGGCTATCTTATATCGAGCTCTTTTCAATAATTAGAAATGTAAATAAATGTAAATAAATGTAAATAAATGTAGAATAATGCAGAACAAATTTAACATTGTTCTAGAGCCAAATTGGTTTTGAAGGAAGGTCAAACTACAAACGAAAGGCTCAGCCGCTCTGAACCCTATGAAAATTATGCTTTCCCAATATGGTACATTCTCTCACTATAAACCTGTCGTTTCTAGCCTATCTGAACTATTTAATAAATGGAAACCATAACATGGGTTACGCTCCTCCTAAGCCCTGCATCCTATCTCTGTCTTACCACAGAGAACAGACGTTGAGGCTCAAACAAAATTCTGTAAAAACTTGTGTAAAGATTCCTATTCGATTTTAGCGTCACCAACGCCGAATTCCCCACTTAAAAACCCTATTTGACAACATGATGGCAGTGGCGTTGCTCAACTTACACTATATACTAAGTGCCGGTAGCGCCAAGTGGTAATTTTCAACCGAAAATTTTCGATACTAGCGCCAAATTGGTCAAAAGTGGAAAATTTATAGAGGAAATCAGGAGATGCTAGCGCTCCGTAGCGGCAACGTTCCCACTTATCTTTACACAAGTTTCTGGTGGAAGTTGGACGTCTGTTCTCTGTGGTTTTACCTCAAATTCCAATGGTTTGAATGTATCAATATATACATTGGAAATGACGTTCAATCAAATAACCCCATACCCCACTTATTTGGCCAGGCTTCAGAATCGTCCAGTAGGCAGTGCGCTCTACACTCCAAGTTCCCTTTCTTTCAAATTTACCCCAAATTTTATATTTTAGCCCTTTGAGTGTTGATTAATCACAATGAAACATTGTGACAAAGCACGGACTTGAGGTTACTAGAGTATTAAATAATCTAGGTTCTATTTAGGATTATATCTGAAAAATCCAAATTTGGCCAACGCCCACCACACAATGGCTTTTAAGAAATTGAATAAAAACACAAATCTTCCTATAGTTTGTTAATATCGATAAACAGTTTTTGCTCGTCTTGAAGTATATAACTAAATATAGGGGAAATGGCTCTAATGTTGGCCTATGGATTTTAGATTGGGCCCATCGCTAAAAATCTGCTATTTATCAATTTTATCTAGATGAACGCGTCATTGGGACGGTACTAATGTATATTTGGCCGCTTTTGAAAATTTAGTCGATTGCTGAATTTATGTATGGGCCCAAATTAGGGGCATTAAGGCCGACATTACATCCATTTCCCCTATAAATGAATTTATTTTAAATTGCGAGAGATCAATTAACAAATAAAGCATTATCGGTAGTGCAACCACCAACTTATGAACCAAAAAAAATATATGCGAAAAACCCTTATAAGTAATTTCAACGGTCTTTCAGTGGCTGAAATATGTTTATTTAGTGTTAACCCTTTCTTTCCCATAGTTGCTTAAGATAATCAAAAAATTAGTGAATTTAAAACACTCATTTTTTTTTACCAACTGATGCAACAATATGCATCTTATCTTTTTTCAAATCGAATTCCAACATTTCAAAACAGCGAAAAATCTTGTAGTAAGTATAGGTTTCAGCATTTTCATGACCGCTCTGGAAATCGAGTACACCGCCTTCAGATAGTCTACTTTCTAAAACCCCAAAAGTTTTAACGGATCTTCCTCCGGACCACTGGTGAACACTAGGAGCCAATTACCAGCTAATATATCGAAATTACAATTTTACTACATTCCATATAGTTGTTGATAAAAATCAAGGCCTAATTTGATTAGATTTACACAGCAATCAGTTTTACCCCAAATGCTAACCTAGATTTGATGCCAAGGTTATAGCGCTTTACCTCGCGCTCTGGAAACGCTATTTTAACATGTAAGGGAATTATTGAAATAAAAAAGTACAAAAGGATAAAACTGATTGATCTAACCCAAAAAGCGAACCTTCTCCTTCTGAATCCTGATGAGTGTGGGTGTCTATATGCAATACAAATCCTTCTCTTTCTCCTCCTCCTCCTCCTCCTTCATCAGCATCATCACGACTTTTACAACTTTCTCTAATGTGTATGAAACTTCATTTAAATGTTTGTTATGTCATTACTCACATTTTTGCTAAAATTCGGCCATTTTGGATCTTGTGAAATTTTCAAAATAGCGCCCTCGAAATCTTAAAAAAAATGAGACAAAGTTGTAGAGAAGAATACAGTTTTTCGGGGAAAAATAAACAAAGGAAATCGTTATTTTTTTACGAAAAATTTCAATAAACATGTTAAAAACATAATATATCTCCAAATGTCCCTATCAAATTTTTAAATTAAAACAAAAATCTTATTAAAAATGCAAACATTTGAAATGTTTAAGACCATGGATAGTTGAAAACTGAGTCAAACAAAAAGTTTGATAACGTTTTTGTGCTTTTTGTTAGTACGCTTTTCTGTATTTTTTTTTTTTTCACAGAAAATGATTTAAAATGTTTTCTGAGTATAAATTACATGATATTTCCAATTCCTCAGCATGTCTTGAATAACTTTAAGATCTTTCAAAGGAGCAAATTTTTGCTGCACAGACCTTGTCGATATCTTTCGCCGATCAAGAGTTATTCACGTTATTATACTAAAAATATGCCCTTTTCAAATATCTCTGGTTGGGGCAAACAAAACAAGTTTTTTACGTAATTCATTGTCATAAAAATGAGGGTCTAACTATTAGGAACAACTTTGGTTAAGAGGCTTTTAGCCTAAAGTTTCAATTTCAGGCTCAAAACACATCCTTTCACCTAAATCTGCATTCTGGACCACTGTGCAGTGAGTTACGAACCATTGATTGAGAAACGCTGGTTTAGTATATATTTCATATGAACCCGATTTTTATTTAGCACGGGTGTAATTTTTCTTCTACTGCCTTCAAATAACACAAAAATTGCATGCAACTGGTTTAAAAGACCAGAAACTAAACTAAAAAGTTGTTACCCATATACAGTTTCTAAGTTCACCATAGCCATAAAGCAACGAGAAAATTGTAAATATGATACTGGGCAAACAAATCATCGAAACATCGGGTGTACAGTCAACCCTTGTTGAACGCTTGAGCAGGGAAATTGATAATTCATGCCAGCTTATAGACTAAGAGCAAGAAAGATAATAAATACCTTGATTATTGAGCGTTTCACAACAAAATAAACTCCCGTGCTAAAAAAAATCCTTCAAAATTTTCGCTCGTTCTAGAAAAAATATAAATTAATAATTTTCAAAGTGTTATCACCGTATGGTATGTAAGAGACGAACCAGCCCAAGGCTGAAAATCTTTCTAATAAAGAGCTGTTCATGATTCCGTTAAGAGGTTCGACAAATTTAAAAGATTTTCTAATAAAGTAAAAAAAACCCTAGTATCTCAATAAGATACTCTATTGTAAATTGAGCACTTTGTTGCATTCAAAGTTATATTTTTTTTAGGCTTAATACAATTTAATATAATATTTTGGCAACTGAAAAACGAATTTTGATCTAATATCTTATTGTATAAACATATGTGTTATGATCAGTTACAAACGCATCGCAAAATATCGGAAGTACGTTTAGATTCAATCCAGATTATACAAATTAAGCTAAACAAATCGAACATTTTTGAAGAAAATGAACAGTTTTCAAAAACACAACAACGAAAAGGAGTGTTTAGTTTAAAAGGAAAATCTACTGAAGTGTAGAAAATGTTATGACACTAGATTGAACTCAATCCCCCTTAATATTCTCACTACATTGAAATCATGGCCCTCCTCGCCCAACGCAAAACACCGGATAAACGTTTTCACACATATGCTAGTCCAATCGCACACATCCCCATCCGTTCCAAATGGCTATCCGTTACGCATGCCTAAATAAACCCTCCAATCGCCAAGTAACACCGGCTAGAGTTGACCCCCAATATAAAAGCCACCGTTGACTGCTGTATTAAAGTTTGTTCCTTACAGTCCACCTCAGAGGTTACTACCTCGAAACCACATCGAACAACTAAACCCCAAGCTCGCATCATCATCATCATCGGATCGTAACATCTTGACTTTCCCAGCAGCAGCCCTCCCCGGAAAACTTCCGAACCTGCAGGCCCTCTCGTTCTCTGCCTCTCACGACACGACGACGCAAACGCTCTCACCATATCGGTGCTGCTCTGTCCCTATGGTGTGATACCGGTGACTTGAACGCTACTCGTGAGCTCGAATTGCAAGCGACGAACCCGTGAACGCGATCCACCAGAAGCACGCTAGGCTACCGTTGGAAGCATCGAAGCGCGACAGACGCCAACTGACCGTCGTGGCGTAAGTGCGTTTTTGTGTGTTGTTGTTTTTTTTTTCTGTGTGACAATCTACCCCGAGAGCACGTGCCTTTGGTCGAGTGCAGTGAGTTCCACGTGTAACGGTCCTTCCCATCGATCGAAACTCTAGCTCTCCCAAAAGAGGAAAACAAAGCGGAGCAAGTTTGGTTTTAGTACCGGGTACTAAGTGCGCGACACTCGGGGAGAGAGTTAGTGAGACCCACTTGTGGGCCGAACGAAAGTGAGAGTGAGCGTTCCCGAGCAGCAGCAAGACCCCAGCCCCAGCATCGCGGCGCGAGTGGATTGTTTTTCGAAGCAATTATAAAAGTGTTATTCCGCATTTTAGCGCCTTTTAGTACCGTATGGACTGTTGATACAGAATGAAGTGGATTATTGTGGTATGTCCTAATTAGTTTTAAGTGTTTCTGTCCTAGAATACCTTTATCTGCATCGTTGCAATTTGAGTTGTGCTACCTGGTTGAACATAATTATTAAACTTTTGAAACACCTGTGAGGAGGTCGTGCACGTTCGAACATCCAAAATTGTTACGAGAAGAGTTGCATGCCGAAGGACTCTGTATGTGCGATGGACGAGAAAAACTTTGAACATACAGTAGCAAAAAAAATACAAACAGAACGCTGCTGTTACGCCACGCATTGAAACGACAAGATCGATCAAGGATCTCAAACTGAAAAAAAAACTGGTGTGCTTGTTGAGCGGTGCCGTGGATTATGTAATTATAGCAAGTGCGGTTCTAGTGCTGCCAAGACGGTCGTGACACGGTCTCGGAGACCGCTCAGTGAACGGAGAAGAGTGGATCGGTTGCAAAATGTGATTAATAACGATGATTTTGATAATGGTTTCTGCTGATTTAATAAGCAACGTAGTGAAGAGCTAATATGAGATGAAATGCTTTATTAAATGACCTGTAATGATGGAGTGCGGTGGACGAACAAGTTTTCAGATTGAATACTTGCACGGTAGGATAATGTTGGTTTGATGAATCTTGCGAAACATGATAAAAGGGGTTTCTCTCAACTTGATAAGATGATTAGTGCTAAGGCGGTTTGTCGGATTGAAAAAGGGATAGATATAGGTTGAAAGGATCATTTCATCTCTGTGGATATTCAAATTCCAATGGGAGCAGTATTATTGTTACGACAACTAAATGCTCAAACGATATATGTGCATTATCTGTAATGTTATTATCGATTTTAAACTATTTAAAAAAAATTAAAGGGTTGTGTCCTACACACGACCGCAGTATAACGTAGAACTACGCAAAATTGATGTATGTCATGCATTTTTGACTATTATACTTTGTCTTAATTTTTCAAGCCGTTACACATTTTGGACAAAGACACTATTCATGTTGTGAGATAAAACAATTGCCAAAAAACACGTTAATTTTTTTTTCAGTAGCTTAATCATTAGTATTAAATTAGGTCTCTGAATCAGAGAAGAGAGTAAAGGTTGCATTTTATGATAACGCAAAAAGCAGTTGTTTTCCTTACCAGAAGACGGTTCTTCAATATTGAGCAAAATGTTGGTTCATATGTCAACGAAGAAGGAAAAGAAGGGGTATATCGATCCTACGGGGTTTAAACATCTCTTTGTTCTCCAATTTGGAGGACAACCCTAACATAAAGTTATCATGCATCATCATTATGTAGTTTACAGCGTGTTCGTAGAATGATGCAAAATAGAATACTGTGACTTTTCTGAACTCAAACGTTTGGTTTCCAATAAGTAGATGCTTAGTACAACATTTATTGAAAATTAGGAGGATTCAATTATTGAACTTCAAAGTCAGAGCAAAAGCTCGTGTGAGGCATGAGGCAAATTGCGACCTCAAACGAATAAAACTTATCATGTGACACCTTGAATCACATTAGAATTAAACAATTTGTTCAATTTTCAGTCATTCGGGGGGCCCTGGCCACATTGGCCACATCTGGCCATGTTTCGATCCCCTCGAAAAAGTGGACAGTTTCTGAATATGGTCTAAAACCATCGATTCACATTAAAATTAAACAACCAGTTCAATGACAGTTATTAGAAATAGCCAGGATCCAGCCAATTTCTGGAAACTCCTAGGAAAGTAGCCGGATGGATCAAAATCCATTATGCGATGCTTCAAATCACATGAGAATTTATATACTTCCTCTATACTCTGTTTAAAAAAATGTTGTGACTAGCAAAGTAAACAGAAAATTATGTTGCTGCTCGCGAAGGAAATTGCAAACAAACCGAAGCACACCGGACAGCCAATGCAGGAAATAACTAGTTCCAACCATACTACAAATATACATTAGGAATTTTGCCAAATATTCAATAAAATTAATGCAATAATAGTCTGCTAGATTAAGTTTACATCTTTTAGTAGTATTATACTGCACAAAAACTTTGAAAGTGTAAGTAATTATTCTGCTTGTGAGTGTTCTAAAGTGAGCCAAGTTGATGGGAAAATTAGTTAAAAGTGAGTGACTTATGCTTATCATTAAAACAGACCTTTTTCTTCATAGTAATGAGCTTTTATAAGAAGTTTCTTAGACTTTCTTGGGCTATATTAGCGCTGGTAAAAATAGGTCCAAATGTTTTCACAAATTAATTTGAATTCCTCCAGCGTCCCACCCAGTAGATGGTGAAGAGCCCCCCCCCCCCCTTCTTAGGGGTGTTAACATCTATGCGGATTTGCTAGCGCCACGCCGCCCGAAGCGGTAATAAGCAGAGACACGACAGCTGTTTTATATCTTTTCAAGTTCAAGCAGAACGATGTGGAACCAAGTGGTACTCGATTATGACGACTGGGTTTGGAGAAAACGTTTATTTCATGAAAACAGTGATAAAATTATCATTTGTACATTTTTCAAAAGTTTTTAATGGATAATTTTGAATATACTTATTTCAGCAGATTTGTTAATAATATCCTATCGATTGGCGTATTTTAATTGCATCTATAAATGACAGTTACAAGCGTTCAAAACCTAACACTTTTTCACCATACATATTTTTTGATTTGCACCCCAGTATAGTCGACAAAGACGTAGTTCCACGTCAAAAAGTAGAAGTATTTTATGGTAACAATAACTTCAGCCAAACCAAATTTCTCTACTCAAAATCACAATCCATATAAACATATAATTTAAGAATAGTAACAATTTTGGTTTTATCATGGTTTTGAAGAGGTTTATAAAGTTTATAATGGACCTGAGATTATAACAAAACCGTAAATGTTGCTTGGGGTGCATTTGAGGGGTTTATTATTCCATATAACCATGATAATGGGGCCTCAGAGAGCCTTGTCGGTTAGGAACGGTATAAAAGCCAGGAAAACATACTAAGGAAGAATGACCACTGGGTTAAAGTCCCTCACAAAATGCCTTTTATTAAAACTTGCTGTACAATAGCATAGCAGCTATTCAGAGTCTTCCTTTACTATGCCACAGAAGCGACACACATTCACACAACGATAATGTTCTGTTATTAAACCAGTATAGACACTGAAATCTTTCTTTGATAATTCAAGAATTTAGCGAGTCAACGCTCGGATTTATGAATCATTTCTCCTGCCTAGCAAAGAAAGTGCTGTTCCAGTTGGTCGCCACTTTCATTGTTTCCCATTTCTTAATCTCTATTTTAAAGGGCCGCCCACAGCAAAAAAATATTGTCTAACTGTCAAATTTACGTCAATGCGCCGCAAACGGATATTGTTTGTTGGTTGGTAATAAAAACAACCAACCAGATCCGTTTGCGTTGCTTGGACGTCAATTTGACAGCTAGACAATAGATTTAGCTTTCACTTTGCCACAACGCGCCAGATCCTGATCTAATGTGGGTGGCCCAACAAGGAGAAACTCCACATAATGGTTCTGGTCCTTGTAGTAGATGTAGGTTGTATTATGAATAAATATCATATCTCTCTCTGTATGTTCGTGTTGAAATAAAGAGAGAGAGAAAGCTCCGAACTCAAAGCTTTTAATGAATTTCGAGCATTCTGTTAAACGATAGTTGAGGCGATTGAACGCGCGTTGAAATACGGAAAGGCTGCCGTCACGACAAGGGCGAGTCCAAGTATAAATCTTCCTAAAAAGAAGAGATCGAGCCAGCTTGACTACCACCACATAACATATGTGGAACTCGATCATCAAAAATCGACCCCATTTCAGTGATTTGAAGTGGAATATAAAGACATCGATCTGTCAAATTGATTATACCAGCTGTAAAATATGAAAGGGGATCAAGGGGGTAGTCCATTCTATTAAAATAATTATAACGTGGTTATGATTTTATGTCTTCTTAGCACTTCTGAACTTATGTCATTGTTTTTCTTTATCTATTAACGTCTTTTATTTATAACTATATAGCTAGCTTTAACCAAGGTTGCAAATACTCATTTCAGCTAAAATAATGTTTTTCGGAATACTAAAACCAAAAGATGGTATGATGACATGTTTTACTTGTAACTTACAAGAAGAGGATACAAAGTATGCGTTTGAAACATAAAACCTGTAAATTTTGCTTTCTATGAGTCACAATCAGCGATTTGCTGATCGTTGAGTGAGTGAGTGAGGGAGTGAGTGAGTTTGTGAAAAATCGCTGATTGTGACTCTCATGAAGTGAAATAAACAGGTTTAATATGTCAAACACATTCTTTGCAACCTCTTTTTGTATCTTACCAATTCAAAATATGATCATAGCATCTAATTATTTCACAATAAAAAAAACCATTGTTTTAGCTGAAATGAATATTTGCAACCTTGGCTTTAACAAATTCTTTACCTTGCAAAAACATATTATTGTTTGCATTTAATAAAGTAGACATTTTCGCTGATTTCCCATCTTGAAATGTCATTGTAAGCTACCATATGTTAACTGTTTACAGTCCCAATTTTTAAACGATACTCATTGCTTTCTGTAGCTATGGCCAAAAAATTGGGGAAAATTCACGTGAATACTTGTTTAATTCTTAACTCTAATACATAAATTTTGAAGCCCAGAGAGAAGTGGCAAAATGTTGCAACAAGTAACTTAATAAAAGCACAGTGAATAACATTCCAACATACGATAGACAAAATGTTAGTTTTATCACACCTATTCAAAGCATTCATCAACTCTTCAATAACATTCAATTATCGTAAAGAATCCAATGTAATTCAACCAGATCGAAGAGACGAAGAAATATTATATTTGTAAATTGGCAACATTTGATTGCCTTCTGACCGACTTGAAAATACTAATAAAAAAAATCCTTTGAGAGCTAGTCGAAAAAAGAATGGCCGCATTCCCTTACAATTTACAATTGGCCTTTTCGGCTACTCTCTGTAACTCTTTACTCCTATTATTTTGACAGTTCGATGGCCAACTATACAAGGTTTACTACTGAGACAACACAAA